CGACGTCCGCCGAGCCGGACGAGGGACCCTCCAAGCAGCAGCTGCTGGACTCACCTCGACTCACCTCTCCACCGAGCGAGGCGCGACGGATGGCTTTTCTTGGCTCCGTTTGGTGACCAGGTCCCACCTCAAAAGTCGGTGGATGACGGATCTTCCGCGACCGAATGAAAGGCCCGGCGCGCGGATCCGGAGGTCGCATCGATGCCGGAGCTGTGAAGGATCGATGGCTTGAGTCTTGAACAAAGCATTGTATGTATTAACAATTTATATATATATATATACCTTACATATTAATATATACTTATTCTGAGGAATAAACAACCTTGGAAAAATTACAAAACACTGTTAATCTGATACGGTAGATCTCTTCGGTGCTCTCTTTGGTGTATTTTGACTTTAAGATACTTTAAGCCACATCAGGTTCTTGACCCCATCGAGGTAGCACCACGCTTCAATTTGTCAAGACAAGAGATCCTTCAAGAAGAACAGGACAGAACAAATCAACTTGAACCCTTCCTCCAATTGTTCTTTGTTACCGCTCCTTCGATGATTCATCCCCCTGCTTTGATGCACGGAAGATCAAGCGCCCAAACATTGTTGCTGCCAACAAAGTTCTGGGCCATGCCAATGATTGTGCCCTGGCAAAGTCTCGGTACCCATCAAGTCTGGATGATTTTAAGGAGAGGAGACGTACTTCGACCAACTAGAATCAGCAACTTCACTGACCGAAGGAGGTTTAGGCCCAAGTCTAACCTGCAAGATGAATCATGGAGGGTACAAGCGCTCTCCTTCATGCCACACGTTCCAATCGCTCGTGCCGATCACGCCACACGTTCCCAATGCTGATCACGGTCCATCCCTCCATCCCGAATCACGGTCGGACAGGAGCGTCGTCCGGTCGTCACCTGTAGGGAGCTTTCACCGTGATGGTACGCGCTCTGTTCCGCCACGTAGCCTGCAAGGCGATAAAAGGCGCGCGCGCGGGACTCGTCCACGGAGCGGAGAGGGCCCAAACGGATGCCCCAAACGGAGCGGGCCGTGAGTTTTGCCCAACAAATCGATGTCCCAAAACACGGATCTGTGAGTCGAGGATGATTGAGGATGGGGTGAAGAGTCCATTTCCAGGCATCCACGCCGAGTTCGGGATGCCTCAACACCACGCCGAGTTCGGGGTCGAAGTTCTCGAAAAGGATAGGGAGGAGTCCAAAATCTGCCCAGAGAGCTGGGGAAGAAAAAACACAAACAGCGACATGGAGATTGCAATCCTCACGAAACGAGTGGACACTCGTGAATATGCACTGAATACGGTGGGTACATACAATATTCATACAATATGACCCCATAGGTGGTGGCTCTCTGCTGCCCGCACGATCCACTATCCGATTGATGCTCCGGTCCCTTATGCTCTGGTCCCTGGGTGAGAGCGTCCAACAGCTCCATCGGCGCCTGAGAGCTGCGCCACCTTAATCTCCCCGGTGAGCTTCTTCTTGAAACAACCGAAGAGCACCTCGCGTTGCATCCGCGGTTTCCATCCGCGGTTTTCATCAGCGGTTTCCGTCAGCGGTTTCCATGCGCGTTGCATGGAGTGCTTGAAATTGCTGGGGCAACTCCGGACAGGGTGCTTTGGATACGGAAACGTTTTGGTGAGGTTTGTATTAGATGTGAAGCAGGTCTTTCGTTCAGATGAAACTCTGTGAGAGCTGAGGAGTCAGTCTTGATCGAACTGCACCGATTAAAAGGTTATTCAACGGCCTCAGTGAGTACTACAATCGAAGTAGGGCAACTGATTCTATTGAGCGTTCGAGACAAGGGCTGTTTCAATTGTGGAGATCCTGGACATATGCAAGCAGATTGTCCCAAACCAAAACGTTGCAAGCACTGTGGCAAGAGTGGCCATGTTGCATCAGAAGACATTGTCAGTCTGCATCAATTTCCATCCGCTTTCGCTTTTGAGCTTCTGTTTCCCACTGGCCAGTGACCGCAACAATGTCTTGAAGCGTAAAAATGATGTCCATCAATTCCTTGGCGTCTGCAGGCCCTACACACAGGCCACGAAGTGTTCGAAGAAAACAAATGATGTTGCGAGCCAACCACGTACCACATGCAAAGAACACATTGAAGGGGAAAAGAAAAATACACAGATCTTTTCGGGGTATCATTGATGTCATGACATCGACCCCCCATGGGTATCAGACGATGGAGACCTCCACGGGTATGTACGGACTCTCGATCCTTCACCGCACGCCGTGGAAACACACGGATGGGGGTGGAGTGGGAAGAGTGGGGGGTGAAGAGTGTGGGTGTGGAAGCATGGTTGTTTCGATGTGCCTCTCAATCTGAATGGAATCATTTTGAAGTCTGAAGAGATGAATCCCACCACGCCAAAGTGGCTGAAAACAAGGTTCGTCGTGAAGGAGGGATCTGCACCAACATTGTCACCATTGCTGAACCCACAAACCCCTCCATGCAAGTGAAGATACACGGTGCATGGTGCAGACTTTGGATAGACAAAAGGGATTTTCCTTCAGTCATCTCCACCAGAAGAATTCTGGGCCACTAAATTTCTAAGGGAGCGCCGACAAAGGCTGTCAAAACTCAACACCCTTTGTCAAAAATGGGAGTTTTTGTCAAACACCTCGGAGGTTCCTCCATGTTCCTCCCTTCAGGGCCTTCCGCTGCCCTGGTTTGAGGCCGTCCACCAAGCAGGGCCTCGAGCCAAGGGGACCAGCTTGCTACGACGTCGTGCAGCGGCCCAGCGTTGCAGCCGAATGTCGAAACGTGCGGTCGTATTCCGAATCGTGGTTCGCCTTTCGTTTGCCTGCCATTGATGATATTACAGGAAAGTGGTGGCCCTGGAAACAGATGATGGTGATGAATCTCGACTGGTTCTTGCTCTGATATGGATAGACTGATAGACTGGGATAGACCCTTGGGTCCCCCACTGGAGAAAGTTGCACGACCAAATGTGCCCCGACTGACCCTTGCTTGGCCCTCCAAGACACTACAGTACGCCCTTCCATACAGGTCATGCTAACATTCCAGTAGTAGCAGTAGTAGTAGTAGCAGTAGTAGTAGTGGTAGTGGTAGTGGTAGTCGTGGTAGTCGTGGTAGTCGTGGTAGTGGTGGTAGTGGTGGTAGTAGTAGTAGTAGTAGTAGTCGTGTCGTCGTCGTCGTCGTCGTCGTCGTCGTAGTGGTAGTGGTGGCAGCAGAAAAACATCTGAACAGTCCTGTTGCCAAGTGCATGATCGATCTGCATTAATATGACCAGTGTGACAAACACGCGCAACAGCTCTAGTGTTGATGAACTAACTCATGTACTTAAAAAAGTAAAAAATATGTTGAATGGCTGGCTTCCCAAAGGGGCTGATGACCAAACCTGTTGGTGGTCCCTGCACAAGTTCAAAAGTTACAGCGACTTTCGTTGGTCGACAACAAACCTCGTTTGATGCACCTTTCTTCTCTGAGGGCCCAAACACCGCCCGCTCCACGTCATACTTGGCGAACAGCGAGAGCTCCTGCTCAGCTGAGCTTAATATATAGGCCGGCACCCTGATGATCTTTAAACCAAAGTCCGGCGAAACCATGGGGGGCATTGGAGGAGCCTTCCCTGAAATTTCGGTGCCCCCCAATGATTCATGACTGGACGCCAAAAAGAAATCTCTAACACCTTGAAGGGTACCTGGCAGGTTCCATCCATGTTTTTTTCAAAGAGTTCGCTATTTGTCCGTTTTTATCCAGCCGCGCGGCAGAAGATCTCCACCCTTCTTGATTCTGGACGTTCGCCCCCCGCTTCGCTCGCTCAACTGCTGCCAGGATCGACCGCTCTGCGCCTTCTCGACGAAGTCGGAATAGCTCAACGTTGGCTGCGAGTGGTCCACAAAAGTGCCCTCCTCGACGCCACGCGACACCAACGCTCGCGTTCACGTGTTAGCGCACAACGCGCTGTAAGGCGCGGCGAGCTTTGGGCGGCGCGGCGACGGTGGTGGAAGCCATGCAGAAAAAAAGGGTTTGGACCAAAAAGGAAAAATAACTCTTTTCCCGGCAAGAGACCCAAACAGTGTGTTTGAGGTCTAGGGTCTAGAGGTGTAGCAGCAGAAAGTCTGGAGATCTAGATGCAGAGGGGTCCAGAGAGGTGATGGTGGTGATGAAGGTGGAGATCGTGGTGGTGGCGGTGGTGATATGTGGTGATATGTGGTGGTATGTGGTGATATGTGGTGATGATGATGGTGGTGATGGTGTTGGTGGGTGGCACTGTTGGTGGATGGGGGCTCAAGCTGGGAAAGGTCCACAAAGTACTGCGCCTGCCACGCACAAAGTACTGCACTTGCAACGAAATCTGCACTTCAAGGCCCACAAAGTACTGCACTTGCCACGAAAATCTGCAGCTCGAGGTCCACAAAGTGCTGCACCTGGCACGAAATCTGCACTTCAAGGTCCACAAAGTGCTGCACCCGCGACGAAGTTTGCACTTCAAGGTCCACAAAGTACTACTCCCGCCACGAAATCTGCACTTCGAGGTCCACGAAGTACTGCACCTGCCACGAAATCTGCACTTCAATGTTCACAAAGTACTGCACCTGCACCTGCCACGATTTCTGAAAACGAACCACATCTACAAAAGTCACGATTCATTGCACCTGTCACGAAACTAGAGCGCGTCGAAGATCACCACCATGTCCAAAGTGCTGCACCTGCCACGAAATTTGCATTTCGAAGTAAAACAGCTCCGATCCCTTGCGCCTGTCACGAAAAGTCGACTTTGGACCACCAAAACACGAGGTTTCCCTTGCGCCTGCCATGAAAAGTGATCATCATGTCCGAAAATGCGCGCGGCGCCACAGCGAGAGCGCAGTCCAAGCACCCACCGCGGCCCACGAGATTTTGCGAGCCTGCGCAGTCGAAATACACTTCCCTGCAACACCTCGATTAGACTCCGCTTACCGTAAGAACCCCTAGTGATCCTAGTGTGTCCACACTGTTTGGGTAACTAACCCCTAGTGTTACCACACTGTTTGGTGAATCAGGTTGGAGGCCATCGCTACTAGGTTGGAGGCCATGGCTAAGGAAGAAAGGATAAGAAAGTTAAAGGTCTAATATAGTGTGATATAGTTTGCTAGTAGATGTCAGGTGAACACCGGGGCACTCCTCCAGGCGCGAGATCCAGGCCTTCCGATCATCCGACCTGCGGGGCACCAGTCCCCTGCCAGCCATTCGCTATGGTGAGCCGGACGCAGCCATTCTCAGATGCTTTTTGACTGACCTCCAACATGGAGATGGCGCTCCGACATTCCTCACAAGGTCCTCAGAAGTGCCTGGGGGGTTGACTTCAAAGTGACACTTCACCTTCTCAACCTCCCAACTCAATGGAGCCAGCAAAAACAATGCAAGACCACCCTGGGTTGAGAAACATGAGTTCCGGAATCTTCCAAGAGTCATTGTCAGAACCACCAGTTGTATCTTGCAGCTGTAGTAGGCAAGGTATTTCTGGCCTGCGCAGTCGTTCCCCCAGCATTTGAGTGGCTTGTCCACCGAAACGTTTCGGACCTCTTCATCTTCTGCCCTCTTCTGTCCTCGCTTGAACCCGGCCCCGCCAGGGGGCCCCGGCCGTTTGGCCGCGAAGGCCATGTCAATGAGATCATCGTCCTGACCTCGTGGTGGTCGGGGGGACAACCATTCTATAGCCATAACATCCCCGTCAATGGAAGATCGGACCCCCAAACCCTCAACCCTCGCGACCCCCGCCCCCCCCTATTCATATGCTCACCGATGCTGGTTTGCCGCGACCGATGCTTCACCCGGCGCGGGAACGCGCCACCGCGCATGGTGAAGGCGATGCTCGACGTCGGCCGGTCAAGAAAAAGCGGTTCCTTGTTGGAATGAAAAAAACAAAGAAGGCTTGGGCTTGGAGTCTGCCAGCAATTCCAAGTTCTCCCCGGCCGGAGGGATCGCCAAAAGGTGTCTTGCTCTCGCCGTGGCGATCGATCACCACCCCCACCCGGGTGCTGAGACTCACGGTACCCCTCGGCTATCCTGGCCTCCGGTATAGGTGAACTGAATCTCATGGTCGTGAAGATCAGCGAAGTACCTAAAGCTTCCAGAGTTGGGGAGCTGCTCTATCACCATATGAAGGTCCTGGCTGTACAAAAGATGAACGAAGCGACCCACCAGTCTATTCCATCTCCAAGGCGCAACCTTGTCTGTGTTCATTTGTATTCACCGCAAAAAAGAAAAAAATCTCCTGGAGCACACATTTTTGCTCCCCTTTTCAGACCAATATACAAATCTTGGGATATCCAACTCTCATCAACTCTCTGGTGGCTTCCACTCAAACCAGAGCATGTCAACCAGAAGCATCAGTTGTCCTGGCAAATCTGCTCAGTGATTCCACGGTTTGGGGTGTCTCACGAAACTTCTCCCGCTTATTCAGGGCACTCTCTGGCTTCGGCGCTGGTGCTGGTTCCAAGACCTACGTGCTGGTTCCAAGACCTACGCCAGGTCTTGGAACCAGGGACGAGGACTGTGAGGCTCCACAAAATGCAACCCAGGGCCCGGGGCTCCAAAATGTTCACAGCTCCGACAGCTTCAGCAACTTGGTGGGTAGAGACAATTTGGTCACAACCAAAAATTAAAGATGTGAAGGCCACCTATCATGGAAGAAAGTCGTGACATTCACCTCCCTGCAAGCAGAATACGCTGCGTTGTTGTGTCACCAAGGTCTTTGAAATTGAAAGTGCAGCCGCGTGGCCTCATTGCACATGCCTATGCTTCTGCTTCAGTACCACGTGATTTCTGGGACGGCGAACAACATCCTGAAGAACAACAGGTTGATAATTTCTGATATGTTTTCTTCGTTCCCTCTTTCACAGGGAATAGAAGGACACTTTGAGCGACCCTCATCTCCCTCCCAAGCACCAGCTAATTAGGAATTGATCTATACCATTCCTGGTCAGCCACTCTGGAAGTCCAATCCTGCCTTAGAAGTAAAATATTTTCGAACTGATTGGACGACCGGGGGATTTCCGCCGGCCCAGGGGCCAGCCACTGCTTTTTCAAGGTGTTGAACTTCTACGCCGCTTGTGAGGTGTTGCTTCCAAGAATAGTTAGATAGCTTCTGAACTACTGTTGCAGCTTAACAAAAGTTGAAGAAAAACCTCCAAAAGAGAGACCAACAAATTCCATGCAGCCATGCAGCTCCCAGCAATCATCAAAAACATAAACTACCACTGACGAGAACCTGAAAGCACGACAACAACAAAAAACATCAAACAGCATCAAACAGCCTCGTCCTCCAGTTCCTGTGGAAAAACCAGCATGTGGTGGTTCCAATCGGCGTGAAATCGCACTCACTGTGCGCCTTTGTAGTACTTGCACTTCCAGGTGTGGCTGTCCTTGGTGGCCTCACGACGCCCACCGACGCCACCGGGTCCACGCGCTCCCACCCCACCGGAAGCGCCACGGACGGACGACGCGGGCGAGGAGACCGTGCGGTTTCGGGCGTCGCGAAGCGAAGACGGAGCGAACACGAAGCGAACACGAAGCGAACACAAACATGGCGAGAAGGTTTGCTAAAAATCTAGAGTTCTCTTCGTTCGAAAGGATCGATCAGGGGCCGAGGAGCCGAGTCCTCATGGGTCTTTGGTGAATGAGACGTCTTCAGCCTTCACTACCGTAAGAACCCCGAATGTGTGACCACAGTCTTTGGGGAAAACGACCTCCCTCTCCGGGCCTCTTTCCAGGCTTCATACTCCGGCAAGGTGAAGAAGGTCTTGGTCTCTTCGCCTTTGGTTACCTCACGGACGTTCTCCGACGCTCTGTGATCCCGTTTCCCTCATTCGGGTGGGTGGGAGGCTGTGGGTGAGTGCACACCCCCTCCCACCCAGGGGCAGGGGCGCCCCCGCCCCAAACCGCTTTGGACCGTGTGGCCACCGTAGGGCTCATGGCCGAAGGATGGAAGTCACGCCCAGTTAGTTTCGGTGAGCATCTGTTTCGCAAAGGGGTGCATGACCCTGCAGGTTCATGTGGGACTTGGAAGTTACCAGTACCTACCTGCTCATGTTGTAAGAGGGATATGATGACTCTGGATATGACGACTCTGGATATGTTACCAGCAACACTTCTATACATACTCGGTGACGGACTCCGCGAAATATAAACGAGAACCAGTGGATATCGACTCTCGAAGAAAGCCCGGGAACAGACACCTCGGCAAAAACAACTATAAGCAAAAAAGGGCCGGAATCATCCCTGAATCTTCGCGAATGCAGACTGTGGATCCATATTTCACACATGCTAGCATCTTCAAAGTGCCTTGTTGGAGTCCCTATAAGTGACGCTTTGGAGGCTTAAGTGGCCTCAGAAAAGGTCACTTGGAAGAACCAGGTGAAGAGGTGCATCCAAACGCGTTTGTTTAAAGAGGTTTTATTCCTCAACCGTCTACATCACTGCAGCCTCTTGCTGCGCCACGTGCGCCCGCACACCTCGCCCTCGCCTTCACGATGGGCGTGACGAACTCTTTCAAGAAGCCTGGAAGCCTCTGGGCTGCATGGTGCCATCGCAAGTAGGTTGGAGGCCATCGCTACGAACGTAACAAGAAGCTACTAGGAACAAAGGCTTCCAGCTCAGCTAGCTTGTGGGGTATTGTGGTGATCAGCTTTCACAGTAGAGGACCATAGCTGTGATCCAAGCTAGGGTGACGGTGCTGGATGGTGCTGGGTTTTTAGATCAACACAGCGTTCCAAAGGCACTTTCATGCACCTTCTATGTCTCTAGTGCGAATGGTTCGGGTATAGCAATTCGGCCGCTTCGCACGCCCAGACCGCACCTGAGCAAGGATGGAAACCAGTGGTGGATGAAGTTGATGATGAGGCCCTGCAGCGCCGATCGGATCTGATCTTCACCTGCCCTGAACGCAAAGCCAACTTTGGGGCGTTTCAAGAGTGGCGCCAAGTCCACCATCCAACTCCTGCCAAAGTGGTAGTGACCTGCAAATCTGGGTGAAAACCGGATCGATCGGAACGCCAGACCAGCCCTTCGATCGGTCTTCCAGGACCCACCGGTGACCTTGATGTGCGAGCCATCGTGATCCTGGTCCGTCATGATCATAATGGAACCTCGACGACGTCGACGTCGACGACTCGGCCGCGGCCGCAACACGTCGACGTGAACGACGTCCCGACGAAGCACGGAAGGAGCGATTCGAACCGTTTCGTCCTGCACGTCTGGCCGATGAAGATGGCTCCCACAGTGGTACTAAGGTTAGGCAGTTAGGCTGGTGTGATTGGTATCCCAAATACCCTGAAACATCGTGAAACACACCCCATTTTGCATGTTTCAGGAACGTCTTCTTTTCCATCGTTGAAACCGACATCGTTCCGACATCTTCCGACCATGAAAAACACCTGCGAACGAACCACCTTGTTGGCGACGAAAGAACCCCGCATAGCAGCTACCAGGACAGTATGGGGCTGTCATACAAATCCCCAAACCCCGGGTCCTGACATGAACCCAAACATGCCACCTTATTTTGGGGCATCGGACTGGGACTGGGTGACCCAACTTGGGTTTCCCCAGGCATAATTCCTTGCACTCTCTTGCTGCTCCAAACGATGTAGCAGTAAAAATCAGTTGACAAACCATCCCACTGACGGGTCGGCGGATGGTCCTCCTCGCGCCCCACGTGGACGCCCCAGAAGGTTTCTGAGCATTCCAGGCCGTATCGTAGACCTCTCGCATCCTGATAGTCCTGTCGCAAAATTGCCTCCGAGAAATCAACTTTTATAACACAAAAGATGAGTAGAGTGGCAAAATCACCCCAAAAACAAGCTCCCAGGACTGGTACTAATCAACTCATGATGGAGAATTCAGTTTCTGTAAGCGCGTAGGAGGCTTGGCTCTGCTAATCAAAGACCTGCATCAACCGTGTGCTGCAAGCTTTTTCTGCACACCTGAGCCATGCCCCTCTCTTTTTCGAGACGCGAAGATGCTTTCTTCGTGTCATGTCCTTTTGAATACCAGCGGTCTGACTGAGGCAACCCTCCAACCCTCCATGAGCCCAATACGTGGCAAAACATGTTGAGCTTCGGTGAGTAGAGCTGGGGAATGCGATGTGAGTAGGGCTTGGTTGTTCATCAGCAGCCCAAGTTCGTGAAAAAAAAAAGAAACAAAGCCATCACGATGTGACAGAAACCTTTGTGCTATTTTGGTCCGTTTTACACCCTCCGCCCGAACGGAGCACGCCGGACCTTGGTGGCATCCAAGGCCATGATCTTGAGCACCTGATGTTCTTTGTTTAACAGGATGCTGGGGTCGTGCTGCAGGGGTTGGAGTGGTGGAGTGTTTTCAGTGTTTCTATTTCGTCTTTCTTCTAGTTCTTCTTGTTGCTATATGTTTTCTTATGTATTCTTCTCATTTATTCTTCTCATTTCTTCTTCTTCTTCTACTTCTTCTGCTTCTTCTTGGACTCCATTGGACTTGAGAGAGGAGGGGGTGAACGAAAGGTAGCAGGCAATCACAAGTAACCCTGTGGAAGTCCATGACGGCGTGAACCGGCGCAGGGGCGATTTGATCCAGGGGCCCCCCGACGAACAGAATCAACTCTTACAGGACCGGACCAAACTCAATGCACAATCCCAACTCCTGATTGTAATACATTTTTGCTAAAGCAAGGAGAACTCAGGTAGCTCAAGCTACCTTTCGTGATTTGGAGAAGTGATGCTTGAAGACCTGCAGTCCTTTCATGTGTCCGGCTTCTTCCAGCCCCTACGCTGCCCCGGTTCTTCACGCTCGCTTCCAGCGCGCCCCCGGCTCCAAAAACGCCAAGCCTCGCCAAGCGGACATCGGTCCCACCTGGTCGATCTCCTTGTTCTCCAACATCTGCTTCACGGTGAGTTCCCGCACCTCGGCGCTCCCGGGTCGCGGGACCGGGTCCCGCGACAGCCGGGACGGACGGTGGGCCCAGCGGAGCGGACCGCGCCGGTGGCGGACCGGAGTCGAAGTCCGGGCTGTGGCCCCACGTCTTCTGCACGTCTGAGGTGCAAAAATGGCATGAATTCTTGGAGAATCGACTCTGGATGCATCACTTTGCTGCGCTGATTTGAAGTCAACAAATTCCAGACTGGCTCCCCATGAATGTCAGGTGCATCAGGGTCTATCAGAGTCTATCGAACTGGCTGAAAAACGCCATATGCTTCAAGATTTGCACATGTGTCCTTTTGGAATCTCCGTCGACGCCCGCGTCGACTGGAGATTCCACCTCCCTCGCTGTCACGATTGGGCCCCGGAGCATTGCGCAGCTTCCCCCGTAAGGGGAAGACCCCGTAGCGATCGCGGCCCACCACTGACAAGCCGGCCACAGCCAGCGCCTGCATATTTCAAGTTGAAAACCGGAGCTTTTGAGAACCAGGTAGGCAAGAGACCACTGCAATGTCGCACATCTTTCTTGTTTGCCATTGCAGAAGGCTGAGGGGAAGATGAACATCCTACCCTGACATTGGAATTTCTGCGTTCAGCTAAACCCCGCGCACCCCGCGTCTAGGAAATGCATGTCTGAATTGTGACCATCAAATGTCTAAAGCTGCGATTTTTTCGCAGCTGGACGGGCGACCGCCCTGTGACTTGTCCGAAGCTGGGTCCGTTGATCATCGGCCTGCCTGCCTGGGAGCCTCTTCGTGCCCCGGTTGGCAAGGGTGCCCCCAAACAGTCGTAGTGCCAAGATACGAAGGATAAACACATCGGTGAGAGGAGGAGGACACTGCGACCCCATCCACATCTGATGTCGAGTCATTATGACTCATAGGGTTCTCTACTTGTCATCCTCATCCACTGGCCCACCATGGTGCAGTGATGGTGCAGCCGGTCTCACACCCAGTAGGTGCACTTCTTTGATTCCGTCTTCATGACCTATATACTATAGACTCGATAGACCTACAAAAACCTGGTCTGGCCTTGGCGGAGTCCCCCTCCGTCAAGATCAGCGTGCAGCTGGACCCCTGAGATCACGAGCGGCGGGTTGGAAGGGCTAAAGAATGTCCGGCGCCGCATGTGGCCCTGACCAAACAGAGTGGATGACCAAGTGTTTGAAGGGTTTCTTGATGCAACATAAATTTGGCTTGATGGCATTCCGTCTTTCCTCAAGACCTCCAGGTGAACATCTTACCAGTCTTGGTCCAACTGTCACACGAGATCATGCATCAGCCCAAAAATCCTTTTTGACAATGCCTTCTACAAAATCAAGATGTGGGAATTGAGCCAAGAGTCTTGAGGAGACCTCTGCCAGTCTCTCCTTCTCTCGTGATCTGGTCGCACCCAAAACCCAGCGCAAACGCTCGCGACCAGGTTCGGTCACGGTTCGTTTCGTTCGCAACACGCTCGCGACGCGAAAGGCCCTTCTCGCCCTCCGGGTCCACCGGCCGCCGCGGTCGTTCCGCACCTCCTTGGTGCCCGCCATGTTGGCATCTTCCAACTTCGGCACCCCAAAGAGGCGCTTCTGCAGACCTCGAGGCGCGCGCGCGCTCGAGGCGATGGGCGGCAGGGGAAGGTGGAGATGGATTGGCTGAAGCACAGACGACTCCAATGGATGGCGGAGATGTCCAGTTCGGTGTTTTCTAGATCTCCTACAGCTGCACCTTGTCTCAGTCCAAAGCCTCATAACCCAGATCCACAGATCCGTCGGAATCGATCTCGGACGCATCATACTCACATCCCGCTTGGCGTCTTCGCAGAAGGAACCGCGGTTGTTTTGTGCCGTTCCGGCGTCGGTTCGGTCTCCGCTGCCTAGGTCACTTCGATTCAAGTGTTGCGCCAGCTCGCTCTTGCCCATGGCCTTGGACCACTCCTGTGGAGTTGAAGGGCCCACAGTTCGGTGTCGGTGGACTGAAGGGCCCTGTGGTGGAGGAGTGGAGGAATGAATTCCTGAAATCCTTCTCTGGTGGGAGGACCGTGTGATGCCTAAGAGGAAGCCCATATGACTGGCTTAGGTATCATAGTATTTCCTAGTAGTCTTCGTTTCATCGGAACCAATCAGATGTCGAATCAAACGACGTCACCAACGACTCGTCGCTCCTGTAGAGATTCCAACAGACCGCTCTCCAGCACCTTCAGAGCGGTGGGATGAGGCCGTTTCGCTTTGATCACCACTTGACAACCAGGTCTAGGTTGCCCAAGGACTGGCGTTGCGTGAACCCCGGTGTTGTTGCCTCGTGATGTAGTCGGATCGCTGCTGAAAATCGAGTGCACAACAAACAACCTAAACACGATGGCGCGACACAGCGCGACATGCAATGTTTGAAAGGGGAGAAGGGAACACACTCTCAGCTTGCGCCTGCGTCAGCAGGTCTTCTGGCAAGCGGCAGGCAGAGCCGAACCTGCGCACAACATGCACCGCAAATCGCGGGAGCCTCAAACCCTCAAGGAAAAAATAGATGTCTAGCGGAATTGGATGTTTTGTATAGATATTGATCTGTTTGCTTTATATAATATTGTGATGTGTTGTTTGTCTGTCAGCAGGACAGGCAAGTTGGTTGGATGTTGTCTGATCAAACATGTGAAGGAAGAGGAGAACATGGAAGGCCACTCCCTGAAGTAATGGAAGGCCACCTGACCTGTTTCGGTACTCGGAAGATGCTCATCCGAACTCGGGGCCAATACCATCCACCGGTGCACGGTCCCGAATGAGCGAATGAGCGAAAAGAAAGGCGAGAGGAAGGCCATCCTCGGGAGGCTACATGGGGGTGCAAAGCAAAATTCTACATCAAACACACTAGGTGAAGATCGATATGTCATCAGCATGTGAAACGACTTGCAGCAATCAGAACCCCTCCCGCCACTGATTCTGATGTTTATTTCTCCGTGGCACCAACTCACCATTTCTCACCGGCCTCTCCCGCTTGCTCGTGAGCGTTTCTTTGGTCTGGGAGTCAAAGGCTGGATTCTCCACCTGACAAGTGAAAGCCCAAAGAACGAAGTCGCACGCGACTTCGTAAGGTTCGCCCTTCGCCCTAACATAGTGATGTTCTTGTTTACCAATTGTTACAGGTGATGGGACACCCTCAAAGAAAATGTGTTCAGCACTCAGATGGGTTGTGTCGTAGAGTTGGACGCCCCTGTTGACACCTTGGTGCAAAACGAGCTAGCAGCTCGCCAACCAACCCACCACCCACCCAGATGCAGCGGCCAGATTCCGCACAAAAAATGGATCGTCCAGGAACCAAGCCACTGGGGAACTTCGCCAAAACAGAGTATGTCTTGCTCCAAGGTCAAAGCCTTTCACAAAGTAGCTAAGCGAAAACATTCAATAAGACCTACGAACGATCTAGAATCTAGACCTATAGAAGGATCCCTGGACATGGAAGGATGTTCGCAAACTATTTCCAACAGGATAGCACTGGTTCTTGGCAATGTTGTAGTGTTCTTTGTCTCGTGCACTTGGAGTTTCCATGTCTCACCCACAAATGTACTCAGAGGCCAAATCTAGTTTTAGGAATTTCCCTTGGAGAACCATCACCTCAAAATACCCTCTGGCTGGTGCAACCAACAAAAACCGTGGAATCCTTCGGCACCGTGATCAACTTCTCTGACCGCCCCACAGCCACCGCAGCCGACTCCCCCCGCGAAACAACGCGGCGAAGCGGCCAAGCAGTTGATGAAGACCCAAAGGTAGCTCTTCACATGTTGACTCTTCACTGCCAACTGACCTGCCAGATCTATCTGACTCGTGGGGTCCAGCACCCAAAGTGCACGGAAAAGGGCCACTCATCATATATCAGATCCAAGGAAAACAACATCTGGTGAAATGCCCACCGGACCGCCCCGGGCCGTTCTACCCTTGGAAGCCTTCCAGCCGCCCTTCACCCCTTCACCTTCAAAGCCCGGAACCCGACCGCCTTCGACCCGATCATCGGTGGTCGGCTCTGGGGGGAAGGAAGGACCCGTCCGCCCCTGGGAGCGGGAAGCCCTCGAAGGGTGGTGCGAATGCGGAATGCTTTCACTGAAAAGGAAGAAAGCACGCAAAGCATTTTTCCCCCCTGTGCACTTGGCCGCTGGGGCCATCCGGGAAGTTCTTCTTCCCCAAAGTGACACGAATTAGAACTCGTCGCCATAGCCTTCCTCCTCACCCTCACCTGGGTCACACCGAAGGAAAGGACCAACGGAAACTACATGTCGAAAGCCAATCCCCCAATGGCTATCATGTGTGACAGGTCAGTTACAAAGCCACGAAGTCATATGACTTCGTTCCAAGATTTGCCTGGAACCCCAAACAATCACAAATGGTTGTTCCAATTGAAATCCCTTACATAGGAAATGGCTGGACTGGACTTGCAGAAGTCCTTCTTGTCGGCCGTTTTACAACATGCCAACCTTCTTCGCCGGTTCGGTGGCCTTCGGCTGTTTCGATGCCAACCTCTTCGTAATCCTTCTCCAAGGCGGCCAAGTCTTCCCGAGCTTCCGAGAACTCACCCTCTTCCATGCCTTCACCCACGTAGTGGTGCACAAAGGCACGCTTGGAGTACCTACCGCGCAGGGGCGAAACATGGCGAAACCACGACTGGAGTGGCCGCGACATGCCGCCAGCGATGTCTCTAAGACAGCCACGAGGAGTCACGAGGAGGGCAAACAACGACGGCGACGAACAACGGTAAAGGTAGCATTTAGCAAATGTCAAGGTCGTTTGCAATCACAAAGAGCTCACAGGAAAGAAACTGTTGCAATGGCCTAATACTTCGCCAAATTATCTATCAAAACCTGCTTGATCCTTCATCAGCATCCCTCAACTTTGGACCCATGACGCCAGCTGCTTAGCCTTGACATGTAAGAGCGGCTCCTGCCAACTCTGCAAAACCCACACTTCGCCATGCCATAGAAGACCCACCACTCTATTAAGCTAAAGGCCCCTATGTCAAGCACACGCCTACCTGTGCATTTCAATAAGTTCAGAACAGGAGTAGCTAGCACATGGGACAATCACCCCGACATCATGAAGATGTACCTGAAGCTTCATAGTGGCAACCCGTCGCCGTTGCCTCTCATATTGCTAATGGAATCCCAAATCCAAGTGCCGCAGGTGCTGCAAGTGACCCGGATCCCCCCTTTGGGGAGCCTCAAGTAGAATGCTCCTCATTGCAAAAGATTGTACAGGTATAGGCATAGTGGTGGGCTGCCTCCTTGGGGGATTCTTCGTGGTGGGTTCTTGCCGCTCAAATAGACTTGCCACTTGCCATGGGTTCAGTCCCATCAATCTCCTTCCAGAGTTTATTCGTGTCGGACGTCCGATCCCTCGGCATCCGTACGCCGTACGCACATCAGGTCGAACCAAGGCACATCAGGTCGAACTTGTGGTCAATGCGCGAGAAGACCTCTGCAATTGCCTCGCCATGCCACCGGCGCGCGAAAAAGAAGCTCCGGGTGTTTCTTCGGAGCTGAGATGGACCAGCAGCTCACTGGATGGCGGCGAAACCTTTCCCGTATACTTCCTTACCTGGTCAACCAAGCAAGCAGCCTCATTCCTGCCCTGGGACACACCTGACCCTTTCGCCCTTTCGCCCGATGGTAATGGGCCAAGTTGCAGTGGAGTTGGAGATCATACAGCACGCACGCATGACCTTGGCCAAATCGCCTCCTGGCACTACAGTGGGTGGCTGGTAGTTGATACCGCACTTGAAGCCAGTGGGGCACCAATCCACAAACTGAATGGTGCGCTTGGTCTTGATGGTCGCCACTGCCGCATTCACATCCTTGGGCACCACGTCACCTGATTTCGTCGCGGATCCCCGAAGAAGGGATGGAGCAAGTGTCAGTGTACCAGGTTTTGAGCGCGATGGCCGTTGCTGGCCGTGGGTGTTTGTCAAGTTTCGCTTCACAGGCGACAAGCGGAAATGGCTCTGAAGCGAAAACTTGACTGGCTTAGGAGGTTGTTCAAGGTTCGCTTCAAAGGTTGTTGGCCCAGCCACAAGCGGACCAACAAGAAAATAAGAAAACACTCCTGGAGACGATGAACCAAAAGCCGTCGACGACCCCTACGAATAGTAAATCGATCAAGCGCATGGATTCTCTTCTTGAGTGTGGAGGAGCAGCCCAAGTTGTGGCATCATCGAAAAAGTAAAACATATGATATGGTCTCAAAACAGAAGCCATGTCTGGGTTCTAGGAATTCATTAGCAAAATTGTGAAAACAAAGTTGCTATAATTTGATACACACCCATGTGAATGTAACATGCAACTGGTGCGACGTGTCATGGGAGGCGGTTGCACCCGCACCAACCCAAACAACTAACAAATGCACACAAAAATCAAGTGTCAATCAAAAACAATGGATTGGACACCACTGATCCCTGACCCCACGCCTCAAGAAGTTCTTGCTTGTCCCGATGCATTAGGAAGGGAGTTGATTAGAGTTTCCACATCACCACCTCAATTTATGAATGTTCTGGAACCTGCCCAGCACACCTATAGCATTTGTGTCAACCAACTAGCCAGCCAGGCACCGATGCTTTCACATCACAAGTGAATCATTCATTCTGCCAAGGGGCCGCGATACATCATGCAGCATGCCATGTACTTGCCGTGACGAGGGTCGCACTTCACCATCATGGAAGCCGGCTCAAAGACTGACATCGTGATCTCCGCCACGGACAGCTGCTCATGGTATGCCTTCTCAGCAGAGATCACTGGCGCATAGGAGGTGAGCATGAAGTGGATTCGCGGGTAAGGTACCAAATTGGTCTGGAACTCCGTGATGTCGACGTTGAGAGCGCCATGGAAGCGGAGAGAAGCGGTCCTTATCAGACTGCAGCACGACTGAGCTGCACGACTGCGCGACTGCGAAGCCCACAGGCGATCGTCTAAAAACACATCCAGAAGAACACTAAACAAGAAAAGGACATAATAGCTCAACTCAAAAAGTTCAGAACATGCAAACACAAAAGAATAAAGTTCAGGACATCGACCCTGCTTCACTTCATCTAAATATAAATGCGAGCTTCAAGCTGGAGATGATCTGTGCGATCAAACGGTTGAGGTTGGTATAGGTGGGCCGCTCGATGTCCAGATTCCTGCGACAAATGTCGTAGAGCGCCTCGTTGTCCTTGGACCCGGTGGTGGCGCGGTGGCGCGACGCGTCAGTAACGACGCTCGTTCGTGACCACACCGTCCGAGCTCGGTGGCATCCGAAAAACCGGAAAACGCGACTGACAGAGGCGGTGCCTTTGGATGTTGGGAGTCAATTGATGTTGGGAGTCAATACTTTGGATGTTGGGAGTCTGGGTTAAAAGGAACAGAAAAACAACTACCAGACATGGTCAACCGAACCATGGTTTGATGGGGAAGGTTTTGACCCACTGCCATGTCTGTACACTTAGTACTTAGGGAATAGTGGTGAAAAGGGGCCAATAGGGAACAACCGGCACATAGGCACATACACAACTCACATCTCACATACATGTGTGGCAACATGAAAGCTTTTGCAAACAAGTTGCATACATGATGGTGACATCGGTGTGCTCCAACAATGAGTGGACGCACCTGCAGGAAACCGGGCAAATAAAAATCCAGCGGTCAGTAGTCCAGAAACGGCTCTGCATCTTCACTCTGGAGTCTGGAGGTAGACCAGTGCACTACAAAGCTAGAAAACCAAAACTTCCACTTTGGAAAGGCCAGCAACAGAACCGTGTTGTAGGGCTCTACCACAGCGGTAGCCACCTGCGGGCAGCACCAAACCTTGGCTGGCCAGAAAAATCAAAGACCTGTGCAAACGGCCGTCAATGACCTTGTGATAACAACCTTGTCCGCTACCCATGTAGGTCTTCAGTGAAAACACCAAAGGTTCATTGGCAAGAACCTGCATGTGCGGGGGTCCCAAAGGACATGGTAGTGACAACATCCAGGCACCGTGAAGGAGATCTTGCTCTTCTTGCCATAGTCCACGGACAATCTCTCCAACATCAAACATCCAAGGCCGGACCCTGTGCCGCCGCCGCACGCATTGTAGACGCAAAAGCCCTGCAAGCCTCGGCTCAGACCCGGACGGGGGGGTTAGTGACGAAACCAAACGCAACCGGACCCGGTGCGGCAGGGAGAAGTGAGTGGCCTCAAAAGAAAGGCCTGCGATCCCCTGCGGGGGATCGTGTGGATTCATCCTCTAACTCTGAAAGGTAGAGCCCGCCACCGTGCGGCCCAATCCGGCCACCTCAAAGAATGGGATTGGTTTGTTCCGTCCCGCAATTGCATTCGGAGCCACCAGTGCAGTTGTCTGCAAGCTTCCGAATGCGATCCAGCACAAGGTCAACCTGCAGCATTCGGTTCGAAAAACACATCCTTGAAGAAAAATGTCCTGTAAACAAAAATGCAAAATATAGATATACTGTAGAATGATATACATCTGAAACAAAACTGTGTGCAAGTAACTAAGATCCTAAACATGTAGTAAAGAAAACGTATGATCCTGAACAAAAAGCACAGCCAATGAAAATAAATGTTCAACACAGCGTGGCCAACGATCTCTTTTCCGATGGTATAATGGCCCCGTGCGAAGTTGTTGGCTGCATCTTCCTTTCCTGAAATCAGCTGCTCAGGATGAAAGAGCTGGCGATAGGTACCAGTGCGCACCTCATCAACAACCTTAGATTTGGTTTGGATTCGACTGCGACATACTGCAACAAGTCCTTTAGGTTCGCAACAATGTGTGATCATTGTTTATCTTGTTTCCAAGTAAACCTGTCTTAGATTCATTTTTCCCTGTTCGCTTGTTGACTCATGTTTCATTTCTGCTATGTTTTGCTTCTGTTTTTGGACTTGGTTCCCTTACTTCTCTCTTCATCTATTCCTCGATTCGGCTGTCGGTCAACACCAAAAGCCAGGACCTGAACACCCTTAAAGACTCAAGACCAGAGTTTTCATGTTCTGGGTGTTCCGCACCGGTCGTCGGTTTTGACCCAACACCACGACACGAAATGATTTGACACGACGTGTTGGCACCTTATCTGCTATGTTCACTGAATGTGCCAACACACCACAACTCATTCTGGATGGATTGTCATGGCACAAGGATACATGAACTCATGAACCCTGATATCGCACGATTGTATGTGCATCCGAGCAACTGTAGGTTCCAGGTCAACCATAACCTGGGATCTGCTGAGGCTTGACAGCTGTTGATTTTCCAACAGAAACTACATGTGCATTATTCAGACAGAGTAGTGTCTTTGGGCATTCATGTACATCAGTCCCAGCAGCGCAGCGAGGAACGTGTTTGCCCGCGCCAGTCTCGGAGAAGAACCTTTGCAAGTTCAACTTGAACACGTCATCTCCCACGAACCAAACCCGGTGGAGTTCCGGAAATAATGATTTTCCCCCGGATAGCTGCAAGCTATAGGCTATAGGGGCTCTGTCTTCTCAATGGCGTGGCTCTGGATCGGCGTTTTTGTTTTGCGGGTGCTGCTGCCGTGCTGGTGCTGGTGCAGGTGCTGGCTTTGGATCAGCGTTTCATTTTGCCCGTGGTGGTGCTGGCTCTGGATCGGGGTTTTGTTTTGCAGGTGCTGCTCCAGTGCTGGTGCTGGTGCTGGTGCAGGTGCTGGTGCTGGGTCGGCGTTTTGTTCGCGCTGATGCAGGTGCTGGGGCGTTTCGTTTTGCCCGTGCTGGTGCCACGCTGGTGCAGGCGCTGGTGTGGGCGCTGGTGCGGGCGCTGGCGCTAGCGCTGAGTCGGCGTTTTCTTGGGGCGCTGCGCTGGTGCCGCTGGTGTTCTTGCTGCTGCTGCTGCTGCTGTTGCTGCTGCTGCTGGGTTGGCGTTTGGTGTGGGCGTGTGCTGGTGCTGGCCCGTGGCATGACATGATGTCATCCCTGGCATGACATGATGTCGTCCCTGGCATGACGCCATGTTACCACAAAGGCAAACGATGCATACCACAAGAAAATACATGCATCAATGTGTCAGGCACCATTGGGGTGGATATTGCCCCTGATTCATGATGTCATCCCTGGCAATGAACAATGCCCAATGACAACGAAAGCCGTAAGACATTGGGTGTTTCCCCTCAAGGCACTATGAGTTTTTTCCCTATACACCCGCTATCTGGGGTCTATGCCAGTGCATTTTACAAACCAAGCCAAGTTCGGACAGCCAATCATTGCAAAGATTTTCGGAACCCCAAGTTTGACCCAACTTACCAAAACATCAAAAACGCGGGCACAAAAACAAAACAAAATGTTCATGTTTCTTCCCTCGGTGGAACAATGTCATCCGACCGACGTTTTCCCAGTAATATAGCTTTCCGAGCAACGTGTTGAATGCGTCATCCCCGCCTCCAATGGTCTTGTCGGACGGCATTTGACCATCAGGTTGGATACCATGCTCCAAGCAAAAGAGTTCCCAGCATGCGTTCCCAATCTGGACACCTCCCTGGCAGTGGGTCCACACGCCAAAGCGTGCAACACCGCGCGCACGCACATTGACTGCCCCACAAACTTTCCAAGAAAGCGGTGCTGCAGGCAATACATCTCACACGCCAACGTGTGGGGCAATGTGCCAACTAACCCTGCATGTGGGAGTGGTTCTTTGCGGCTCGGAGTGGCTCTGTCCTCCTCTAAGTTAAACCCTCCCTTCCATCTCTAATTGACTCTACCCTCGAGTGGCTCGCAAAACGTACGCTACGTTGGAGTGGCTCTTTCCTTCTCTAAACTTTACGGTCGGGTGGCTCACACAAGGCACGCTACGTTTCCATGGCCCTTCCTAATCTGAAATATACATTACGACCTGACACCTTGAAGATCTGCATTTGGCCTCGTCTTTTTGGCCGACACACCATCCTTGCGCAAGTGAAGAGATGTCCTAGTCGTCCTACAAGCCCCAAAAGCCCTGCCCTTTGTCTGAAAAACACCTGGTTTTCCTGAGCAACAAAGGGTCTGACGAAGTGCCTTAGCACATGTCTACAGCCACACACCCCGCCAAGTCAGATGTATCTTAGATACGATGACTTCTGTGGCTTGGGGATTTCTTGTGACTCTGTCTCTGTGCTTACTAGTTCAGCAATCATGCGTCTCTATCTCCTATAGAGCATTGAAAAGGTCCACATGAATGCCAACATCTCATCATCAAAACTTTCAAACTCTCAAAACCACCGAGTGCGAAGTCTCTCAACTTCCGGTTCAATCTCTGAGGGTTCATCTTCAGGCTCTGGGTTTCGTCCAGCTCGCATCTCACGATTGTAAACAATCCTCCTGCGCACCGAACGGTTGTGAGTTGCATCTGCCACCAAGTTTGCTCGAACCTCGGCTTCCGGCTCGTCCTCAATCTCTGATGCTTCTTCTGAACTCTCAAAAATGTCACCTTCAATGAGATGTTCCTCAATCCACCTGTCTGGGTCCTCTGACTCCCATGGAAACTCTGCGTGGGACGAAGAAGAAGCGTCCACGTCTTCCTCCTCTTCTTGCTCTTCCTCATACTCAACACCTCCTCGAACATGTGCTCGATAGAACTGCCGTCCTGTCTCATCCAATGCTATGGCAGCATCTGCCACCACTGCCTCACCTTCAGCATTCAATACGGCCAAGGTGCCATGAGCGTTTGTGCCTGACACAACTGGACTGTCCTCTTCAATCTCAACCTCCTCTTCATTCTCTTCCAGGACGAATGTAGCCAGCATCTGTCTCATCCGACTCCTCATCTTCACCATCATCAACAGCAGCTGGAATTGCAGCTGCCTCAACAAGCTCTGAACTCAACTCATCATCTCGATCCAAGCCAAGCTCCTGAGCCTCTGTCTCATCAACATGCTCTGAAACACGATCTTGTTCTGCTGCATCCAAAACATGCCTTGAAGATGCTGAAGCCTCCTCTCGAATTGCGGTTTCTGCCTCTGAATCTCGAATTCCGGTTTCATCCTCTATTTCAGCTCCTTGTTCAACATGCTCTGTTGTTGTCTGAGTTTCTTGATTCTGCTGCTCTGATGCCTCTCCCCCGCTCATTGCAAGAATCCTCCACCAAACAAATCCAGCGAAGCCAGCAAAAAGCGAAAGAACGACCATCCACATAAATGCGCGCCCAAGCTGAAGACCCTCAAAAGAATGACCTTCTGTGCCCTGAACTAAGTTCAACAACAATGCGCAGATGAGTTGCACTGCATTGCCTTGTTGGGCCCCACTGCCCGAACGATCCTGTTTGTCATGTGTATTCTGTTCTCTTCTTTGTAGATTGTTTCACCATCTCCATACTCCATGCCATGCAAAAACATGAGCATACAATGTCTACGGAATGCCAAGTTCTTTGTACACATGTCAGCGGGATTGAATTTTGTGGGAACTTGATGGACAGTAAACTCCTGGCGCTGAACCATCTGTTGGATCCACAAAAGTTTCCCCTGCAAGTGCCTAACCCGACATACTCCAAGCTTGTTTGCTATCTGCCTTGCTGCACTGTTGTCTGTGATGAGCTTGCAATGCACGTCAGCATCTTTTCTCACGAACTTCACCAATGCTTTGATGTAGAGCAAGTCGATGGCACAGGACGTCATGCTGTACCACTCACTTTCAGAGCTCAATGCAATCAACTTCTGGGTTCTAGAAGATGAATAGATTGGAACTCCGTTCAGAAAATGTGAGCCTCCTGAAGTCGACTTGCAACCTGAACTACCTAGCCAGTCTGCATCGCTATAGCTCTTGACCAAGACCTTACTTGATTGCTGTTCTCCTCCATTCAACCTGCAAAACAAACTCTGTCCTGTCGATGTTTGTGAAATGCACAATGGGATCTCTGATGTGACAACACTGTAGCTGAGAGATATGATGCAAGTGATTTGGTCGTGAACTGCAAATCTACCCTGTCGTGACTCAGATACATGAGCGACCCGGTCAGCGATCGATAAATGCTTGCCATCTCCTCATTCAAAGCTGTGCTTGTGTCAGAATGCCAAAAACTGTGTGGCGCACCTGGAACCTTGCTCCTCTTCAGCTTCTCAGTCCACTGTTTGTACACATCAAAACAATGCTCCGCATGCCGCTTCTCTGAATGAATGAACATCTTTGTATAGTCAGGTTCAATGACATGCACTCTTTTCAAAAACTCTTTTGTTCCTCCTTCATCCTTTGGCGCATAGTGAAAATTCACCCTGTACTTTGATTCAAGCTTTGGAATGACTGTCTGCACCAAGGAAGTCTCGCTACCCCAGAACAACAAGTCATCAACGTGTGCAAGAATCACGCATCCACATGGTAAACGAAACATTGAGGGTTGCTCCAAGCAAGTTTCACCACCCAGCACCTCATGAATGTCCCTTGCCAAATGATCACACCACCGTCTCGCAGCATCTCTCTGACCAGGCAAACATTTGCTGATGTAAAAACGAACCTGTGTTTGTCCCTCTAGTTTCAATGGTCTCATCTTTGATTGTGGAACCTGTAGGTAAGCATCTGTGATGTCACCACTTCTAAGAACAAAATCTGCTGTCTCCTCGTCATGGTCATTGCCAGAGCGGGAAGAAGTCTTTGGGCAATCACTGAACTGGCCGGTGCAAATGTCGTCTCGCGAAAACGTATTGAACTCCCTTGCAACAAGCCGTGACCTTCTCAGCCAAACGGCTTCATCCCCTTTGCACTTCTTTCTCCATGTACGAACAAATTTTGAACTCAGCTCTCCACCAAAATCTTGTTTGCCCCAATCCACAACTGTTTCAACCGGCATCAACACTGTCATGTCAACAAGTCTTTCCAACTCAACACGGTCTGCAAGACTGTCCAACTCCTTCAGTGTCTCTGTTGACATGCTAGGTTCTGTCTCCCCGAAAGAATACCACAACGCATCTGTGTTCAACTTGGTTTCAACTTGTTCTGTGGGACTCTCATCTTCGTGTTGATCAAAGAGCAACTCAACTTTAGAACAATCCGACAAATTGTCCAAAGGGTCCTCATCAACATGATGCAAATCTTCTGTGATCATTGCAATCCTGAGTATCTTAGGCTCACGTTCTTCAAGTGATGAACTCTCCCTTTTCTCATGCCCTTCAACCACTGCCATGCCTGAATCTGGAACATCAACTGAACCTCCCTCAAAGGGAACTGATGGAAGGCTCGAACTGGGCAATGCGAGTGCCATCAACTGAGTGGAATCCAAGATTGAAACCCATCGTCTGCGTCGTCTCGTCCTCTGATTCTGGGTCACTAGCAGCTTCATCATCTACCCTGTGACCATCTCTTCTGTACGAAATGTTTGGCATCAACTTGTTTCCCATAGCACCTTCTATCATGTAAGGTTGAACTCGAAACTGATCATACATGTCTCGATGCACGCTCCAATCAGAATCAATAGATTTGATGCTTCTAGTCAAACGAATTGCACTTCCAATCCCAACAATGTGTTGATCGTTTGTGTTTGTTTTGCCCAGCCAAATACCTCGAATCCACCTCAAATTGCCTTTCTGTTCACGAGTGTCCTTCGATCCGATGTAGGCCAACACAGGCGAACCAAACGAAGTGACCTTGCCCCTATACTCTCTCCCAAAAGCAACTTCATATGGCGTCAAGCCGCCACTTGGAAGAAAACGACACATCAACCAGCTCGCATGGTTGAATGCCCATGCAAACAAAGGATGATGACATGGAACTGTCACATTCAAATTCAGCTCATCTCTCTCACCAAAACAAGCGCCATCTGTCGTACACGATGAACACAAGATTCAACCCAACTGTTCGAACCGTGGTCCAAAGGTTTTGTGGTTGTGATGTGTGTTTGGCTTCCCATCTTGTTTCTTGCTTTCTGAATGGCCTTTTGCAACGACAACAAAACAGGTTCATTGTCCGTCCTCACTTCAATCTCATTGTGTCCCAAAAAGTTGAGAAACCTACAAACCTCTGCACAAAGGAACCTCACATAGACCTTCTTCTGAACCGGGAATGCTGCCGTGGAACCTGTCTGCAAGTCGAAGAGCATCAAGCAAATCAACCTCTTGTGGTCTGGAGGCAGCACACGTTCATCCGGTGTCAAAGGCTCAATCTTCTTTCCTGTATAGCAAAAATCCATAGAAACACATGGGATTGCTCTGTCCTTTGAAGACACATCTGTCTTGTGTGCGTCCGGTCTACCTTTCCCTGCAACACATGCTTCACACCATGGTGCATACGGCAAATGAGTCACTTCGCGCCGCAACACCTCCTCATCCGAAGGCTTTGGATGTAAAGTCTGCGTATTGGGCTCTCTCACAACTTCTGCTTCAAGCTTTGTCGCTCTAACTGTTGTTGCAAAACATGATTCCTCAATCGCTTGTACAACTTTGTTCGACTGCCGGGTGTCGAAAGACCACAAGCCTTGCATCCGGCCTTGAGCAATGAAGCACTGGA